GCAGAGCCACCTGGCACCGGGTGAACCTGGGGCTGGGTTATTTTGGGGGGAAATGCTGCATTTTTGAAAAAAAGTATAGGTGAAGCGGGGCTCGTGATTTTGAAAGAAATGCTGGGCATTGGAAGAAAAACTGAAAAATTGTGGAGAAATGGCAAAAATTGAAGAAACAGGACCCGTAGTGGTGGTATGATATCAGCTGCATCCAACAGCGAAATATTCGATGAAGAAGCTGAGAACCGAAGAAGATCCGCGAAACAGATGAAAATGCCGAAAACCGTTCAAAAGGGCGAGATTGGCGGAAAAAGCGGAAACTGGTGATGAGAAATGCAAATATTTGTGGTGAAGAAGTGAAGAATCTCACGTGTATGATCAATAATGAACCAAGAAAAGGTAGAAGGTAGTGGCAAAACACCAAAACTTCGTGGAATTGGCCAGGGCACTGGGCCTGTTGTTAGAGATAGCAGACCGTCGCCTTTTGGTTCAAATCAAAAGCCGACGTCGAGCCGAATTTCGATCAATCAGAATCCACTTGCTCTTCCTCACAAATGGAACACTTTCTACTAGTGTAACAGCAGTAATTGTGGTGGTAACGAACAAGTTCTTGTGAACATGGCCATGTCTGGTCTCCCTTTCTCATTGATTCTTGTGCCTAATTGGTCATCCGGCCCGAATCTCCGGGTGATATTCTTCAACTTTTGCCTATTTACATTTACTAGACGTTTTTCAAGGCATAGAATTAGATGACGCCAAATTCAGTGCTCTACGTAGAACCCCAATTACGGTCATTCACATCTCTCAAATAAGTCAACCAGCACACTACCTACCAAGGTGACAGGATGAAGTAGTTGTGTAGATCAGGTTGACGGGACGGAGTTAAGCCGTCCCATCGCCAATTTTGCCGAATAAATCAGGAAGGAAGGGAGAGCAGACGGAACCGTATTCACATGAACTTGTTCACCGCGACCACATTTACTGCATTCAGATACAGTGGTAGTGAGTATTCCTTTTGTGAGAAAAAGCAAGTGGATTTTGATATGAAGTGATCAAGATGAGGCCCGACCCGATTTTGAACCAAGACACGACGGTTTGCTGTCTTTGACAACAGTGACCTTGAAAATTTTATCAACTTTTGGTGTTCTGCCATTAACTTTTGCCTCTTCATTGGACCATTATTGATCATACTCAGGCGATTCCCCGCATCGTCTTCACAAACATTTTCATTTCCCACCATCGCTTTCCGCTTTCCCTCTCCCTTTCAACGGTTTGAGGCATCTTCAACTGTTTCGCGGATCTTCTTCGGTTCTCAGCTTCTTCATCGAATATTTCGCTGTTTCGCCAATGCTCGCCTTTTCTACCTACTTTTCCTCTCCGATTTTAGACTTTTCAATCATTTCTCGTATTTTCTATCAGATTTCGGCTTTTGTCAGTTGGATGCAGCTGATATCATACCACCACTACGGGCCCTGTTTCTTCAATTTTTGCCATTTCTTCACAATTTTTCAGTTTTTCTTCCAATGCCCAGCATTTCTTCCAAAATCACAAGCCCCGCTTCACCTAAGCTTTTTTTTCAAAAATGCAGCATTTCCCCCCAAAATAACCCAGCCCCGGGTTCACTCGGTGGACAGGGGAGGAAGGGGGATGCAGAATAAGTTGTGCTCTTCGGTGTACCTGTCATCGGGTTCGAGTGGAACAAGTGGCCCACTGCGTTGAGGGGCCGTTCACATGCTCATGGTCACAGTTCGATCCCAGTGTGCACAGGATTTGGAAGGATGTTTTGGTCATTTTTGGCAAAATGCCGTACTGACAATCCATTTCTGACTCCCCAAGCATAAAACTGGTCTAGACCGGATTCTCAGAACTATTCATTTTTCTATATCGATACTGGCAACCCGACATGTGAACCTCTACGCCTTGCGGGTAAAGAATGCCGCAAAAAGCATCTTCACTAGACGAAAAATTGTACGGGGCTCACCTCCACGCCCAAAGTCTCCTCCAAGTTCGAGAATCCGGTAAGAAAACCTTCCAGCGGAAACTTCAGCACTCACGCGCATCATCCTATGCTGCGGAGCCGGTCCACGGTTTCTAGTGACTGGGTTCTGGAGACACATCTCTTCCCCACTGCCCACATCTGTTCGGTGATCTCTCATACTCCATTGGCCCAGACAGCGGTGAATCGTATTACACGCACGAGGAGCACGGTAAATCTTTAAAGAAGAGACCGCTGACTGACGAGTGCCAATAATAATTGGCAAAACTTTGGGGTTGAGTGGGTCCGAACCTCCACCGCTCCCGTAAGAGGCACCTTCCATGGCACTACACCATGACTCACCACTTCGACAAGATTTCCGTGGACCAATAAAGTCTATAAGTCCTAGGTAGTGCTGTAAAGACAACCCATTTATTCTAGGGTGATTCTCGTGCATTAGCGCAGCATTTCTCCGCGATTTTGGTTCTCCAATTTGTGAATTTTGCATTTTGGGCTGTTACCATTTGTCCCGTTTTTGACATTAGAAGCTATAACATTGAGGAACGAATTTCTTGTCCAGTCCTTTAATGCACATTGGCAATAGGCAACTTTCTTTTGAACTTTCCCTCTACGACCTCCTTGAGAAATCCCATGCCGAAGATTGGGCATCGAGAAGGTAGACACCGTATTCTAGATCATCCTAATTATGAAAAGAGAAGGATTCTACTGATAGTGGTGCTCCCTTTGCGACGTGCCCAGCCCTACTCTCCCCTACGTCTTCTACTATGGAGTCCCTAAGAATGGTTCCTTTCGGGCATGGATAATATGGCCTATTAAATGTGACTTGAAATCATTGTACGTTTTTCCTTGGTTAACAGCTTTCTATTTACTTGCAGATGCAATCAGGATACCTAATGGTTTCACGGTTTTCTTCTTAATCATCAGTCTTGTTCTTATCTTCTGTTTTTGTAAACAACAACAAAGTTATCTTTTATTAAGTCTGAATCAAATTGTTATGTACACACACTGCACTCGGACCCAAAGGGCTCTCAAACATTCAACAACTAACAGTAAACAAAAACCGCGAAATCATGACATCCAGCATACAAATAAACAGTTTTGATGGGATGATAAATAAAGAATACTTCGATGCAAATTTCACGGTAAAGAAGCTACCGCCTAAACATCGAAGAATAATATCTTGTCAGCAATAAAGAAAAAGNCTGTTAACATCGAAATATCCCTCAATGAGCTGAGGTCCTAGGCTTATTTCCTACTCAATCACATTGGGTATAAAATCATACTCAACCTCGTGACCTGTTTTGCCTTTTGAACCCCATACTCATGGGTATAAATCGTGCGCTTTTACCCCGCGGAACATGCATCCCAAAAGTACGCAGGTGCCCATCAACCAGTAAACTTCAAAAAACTGACGGAAATAAAAGTCTCGCCTAGTTTATCGTGGGAACTGCTCTTATCATGCGATGACCATCTTGGGTAATATCACACTACACAAGACTGCATGTGGAATGTGAGGTAAAACAGCTGAAAGACACCTGAACGAGGAAAAAAGAAATTAACGATATCGACTTGAAACATAGTGTTCTTCTGGCTTCCAATCGACTTTCTTAGGTGCTTGTTCGGCTTTTTCACGTTCACGAATCTCTTTCCATATTTCAATATCACGCCAATCCGCCTAAAAACGACTTGTATATTTTAGGAACCATGGTTGACAAATATTCAAAATGATGATAGGAAGAAAGAAAAAAGAAAGAGAAGACAGAGAAAAAAGGGTACCTTCTCGAAATCGGGACGAGGATTATGCGTGGGTTCTTCAGGTGCTTCAGTCTTTTTGCCAAAGTTGAAATGTGAATTTTGACCATATAGATCATCTTCCTAAACAAGTAACTTGGTAGCTGTGAGACACCCAAATCCCAGAAATGAAAATCTAGTTTAAAGTGAAAACAGTTACCTTCACTAGCTTATCCAACAACTTCGACTGATCCTTCCAATCGGCATTCACATCACGATCAGTGCTTTCCAAAAGTTTCTTCAGTTTCTTCTTTTCCTTTTTAGCTTTTTTCTTCTCCTTCTTCTCCCTCTTTCGATCTTTTTTGATCTTCTTTTTTAACTCTCTGAGTTCTTGATCCTCCTAAAAACAACAATACTCATTTCTAATAGCAACTAATTAAAACGGAGGCTTACCTTCAAGGTGAGAATCTTAGTTTTCGCCTCTTTCTCTTCCTCCTCGTCCTCTTCGTCCATTTCGTCTGCAATTTTTACCAAAATTATACAGCGACTGTACATTAGTAAAGTCCAAGTTTGGTGATATGAACACGGTAATAATACGAAATCAATCCTGAGGTGGGGATGGGAAAACTCGGGGCAACGGATCAGAACATGGGTAGCACAATAACGATGGTATTTCCACGGCATAATCCATCCCACCTGACACCGAAGTAAATGTTGAAACCTCCTTCTAACCCGATGAACCAATGAAAAGTGCCCAAAATGGGTGCACCTGCTTGGGATAAAGAAGTCAGAAATGGAGGTCACAATAAAGGCCTAAACGGGGTTGTAAGTGACGCCCATCTCTCAGACGAAACGGAAGTAGAGTTTTACAGAGAAAAGAAATATCAGTAACTCATTTCATGCCGCCTCTACAGTAGCTAGACACAAATACTCGACTATAATTAGAAGAAAAGAGAATAAATTTGTGAGATTCAAAACAAGGAAGCAACACAAACAGACAAGCCTGAGCGTACCTGCTTCAGTTATTTGAATTGGCTTGGGAGCACAACCTTCCTCCCATAATCGTTTCGTTTCTTCATCAGCATTTTCTTTATACTTCGGTACTTTGTATTGTTCCACATGATCCACCCGTATCATCCTCTTCAGAAGCTGAAACACAAAATCTGTCTTTACTGAAGTAAATCAGTAAGTATAGTTGACTTACAGTGATTCCGTTAAAGTTGTCCACAGCAAGTATGGTACTCCTCTGATCCTGATAACACAAAAAGCAGAAACCGCGAGANCTCCTTCTAAACTCGATAAATCAATGAAAAAGTGGCCAAAGTGGGTGCACCTGCTTGGAGAAAAGGAGTGGAAATTGGGCGATCACAACAGAATCCTACATGGGGGTGTAGGGAACGCCTACGTCTGAGACGGAGCCATCAAAAGACAGCATCGTTCGTGCATGACAAAAGTACAGCTTGATTACGAGAGAAAGGCAGCTTCAGTAACTAATTTTATGCAATCACTAAGATAGCCGGACACAAATAATCAGCCATAAGCAAAAGAAAAGAGAAAAAATTCGTGGGCTTCGAAACAAAGAACGAAAAACTGCGAACACACCTGCTTCAGTTATTTGAATTGGCTTGGGAGCACAACCTTCCTCCCATAATCGTTTTGTTTCTTCATCAGCATTTTCTTTATACTTCGGTACTTTGTATTGTTCCACATGATCCACCCGTATCATTCTTTTCAGAAGCTGAAACACATAAACTGCCTTTACTGAAGTAAATCAGTAAGTATAGTTAACTGACAGTGATTCCGTTGAAGTTGTCCACAGCAAGTATGGTACTCCTCTGATCCTGATAACATAAAAAGCAGAAACCGCGAGACTTCCCTGTGTCCGCATGACGCAGCAAGTTGATATTTATTACTTCGCCAAATCTGAAAATAACCAAAATCAAGTTCTGTAGGGTGGCCCTCGTGCGTAACTGAGCTTAAAAATGAAAAGCCAATCAAAAAGTTTTCTTCATTTCCAAGGCAATAATATAAATAAAGTTATATCAATACGGGTTACTAGTAGCTAAAATGTAAGGCATCCACTATTCGTTGCTCACTACAGTTGTCAAGACGTTTGAAACATCAAGGTTCAATGTAACAAAGTAGGATTAGAACTGGTTCAACTCTTTGAAATGTGAAACTGCTGACAGTCGGGAAACGAATGAAGTGCAAAAGCTGGGGGTACTCTTCTAGGCGACCACTTATGAGTAGTTTCCGGTATAACTTGAAAAAGTACTCAAGGGAGGGTTGATGAAAATATGAAACAGCGGTCGGAATGTCAAACAAAACGACAAAAAAAAATTATGGAGAAATAGAGAGATGAGATGGGATGCGCATGCCTCAAAGGGAAGGGAAGCTAAGAAAGAAAAATATCATAAAACAAATAAAACTTCTATAATCAAACCACAAAAAGATTGGTTGTGAATCAGAAAGACACTTTCAGTAAAAAAACTGTAGGAAAACTAAACGAACAGGAAAAGTAAGTAAGGAAAAAAGAAGAAAATAAACATTAGGAGGAATCCTAGAAATATACACAGAAAAATACTTACTGTGAAAAAACTGTAATGATATCTCCTTCTGTGAGATCATATGGCAAGCCTCCAATATAGATCCATGCAGAATCTTTGTATTTTTGATGCCATGATTTACCAAGATCACCAGAAATACCCAATTGAAGTTCACGTTCGTTCAACTTATTT